AAACAAGTTATTCTTCTCTCTTTCTGTCCCTAGAACAGGTCAACTTTTCTGCTTTGGAACCTTTGCATACTCTTTCTACCTGAAACTCTTTTCCTTAGGATCCTTATAGGTCACATTCTCAGAAAGTCTTCCCCTGATCGCTCAGACTGAGGTAGGCTCCCTTTGTTATTCTCCATCATAGTATCCTGATTATTTTCTTCACAATTTTCATTCATTTACTAACAATTATTCACTGAAAACCTTCTATATGAAAGGTACTGTTCCAAGGACTATGAAATCTGCATTATTTCTCATTATTGTAATTATATGTTTATGGTTTTGCCAGTCCCTCTCACTAGAACATAAGTTCCAAGACCACATCTGTTTGATCATCACTGTATCCTCTGACTTCAGCATAGTAACTAGCATATAGTCAACAACAAACATTTGTAGACTGAATGCAGAAAATGCTAGCTCAAAATAGTATATTCATTCTCTTCAAGATAAGGGACATGAATGAGGCGATCATTTCTAAGGAGGACAAACTTGATTAGAAAACTGAATTATTAGCCTTCACCAAATTAAACAAATATATCAAAGAGTTTTTTAATTTTTCCTTTTTTTTTTTTTGTGAGGAAGTTTAGCCCTGAGCTAACATCCGTGCCCATCTTCCTCTGCTGTATATGGGATGCCGCCACAGCATGGCTTGACAAGCAGTGCGTCAGTGTGTGCCGAGAATCTGAACCTGGGAACCCTGGGCCGCACAGCGGAGCGTGCACACTTAACCGCTACGCATGGGGCCAGCCCCAAAGAGTTTTTTTCCTTAACCTCAGAAAACATGGATACAGACTCAGTCTGCAGCTCCCAGCAAGCAGACAACCTCCCTTTTGAACCTCCTTGGTAAGGAACCTCTGCCATGCACACTCTCACCTTTTTCTCCATGTTCCTACTATACATAGGGTGACCATACAATTTATTGTGCAAACTAAAACCCCTTTGAGAGAAAAAGGTGAGAAATTGACCATATGAAGGAACAACGGCCAGACCATATATAAAAACAGAACTTTGGCTACCATCTGCAGCAACCAGCTCAGAAAGCCAGCCTACCATCTGCAGCCACCAACCCAGGAAGCCAGCCTGATATCTAGAAGTCCGACTTGTACAAAGTTAGATCACTGTCTCTAGCAAACAATCCAGGAAGCCAAACAATAAATCCTGTAACAACTGGCCCCAAGTGGCCAAGACTCCATTAATAACTGACAGCTTCTCTGATTTTTGTCACGGTTTCCAACTTAGGACCAACTAGAGAAAGACAAATATGCTCCCTTAACTAGTCACAAAGGATGCCCTGTTTCTAGTTAGCCCACCTACAGCTTCCCCATGCTCATAGTCTTCAGTCAGGGCACATTTGAAGGCTTCCCTTTTTCAGCTATAAACTTTCCCATTCCTCTGCCTGCCTTTGAGTCTCTGCCAAAATGCCAGTGATGGTGACTGACTCCCTTTCTATTAGAAGTTCTGAATAGTCTTTGCCTGCTCTCATTTGGGTGATTTTCACTTATTTCCACAAAGGGAATACTATTAATAATTATGCTGGATCAACAGGCAAAAATCAGGGCTGTTCTGAGTAAATCAGGACATAGGTCACCTGATTATAAAGCACAATTAGACAAGGGGCTGTTTGCTAATGAGATACAAAGTTTGGGAGGGTGAAGGTGTGAACAATAGAAGGTGAAATGTGCCACTACCGCTAGGGGGGGTTGCACCACTAAAGAACGGAGGACGGTTCAATTACCGCAGGAAGTTCTTGAGATGTTTATGCACTGAAGTTACTAGTATTCAGTAATCTTTTTGGTTTAGATGTATGCTACTGTGAAATTGTCTTCAGGGCAATAATTGTCGGATATAATCCCGAGGGAAAAGGTTCAAGCACACCATTATTGGTATCTATATTAACTGACTTTCATTTATTGACTACTGCACCTGATGCAGTAAAGAGGTAAAAAACACACTCCTTGCCTTTAAGAAGCTAGCATTCTAGAGTTCTTCAGGTCCATATGGGTCACCTAATTTGCAGGGCCCAGTGCAAAATTAAAATAAGGGGCCACTTGTTCAATAAGTATTAACAATTTCAAGATGGCAGCAGCAAGAGCATTAAACCATGTGTGGGGCCCTCCTGAGCACAAAGCCCTTCGTGACTGCACAGGTCACACATCCATGAAGCCAACCCTAAACGCAGAATACTACTCTGTGACAAATTATAGACCAATAAACTATGCTGCTTGGTATGTGTTGTGATGCTGCTGAGCCCTTCAGCCTGTTTTTATTCTCTGTGGTACATTTGGCACGCACAGAATTAAATTACTTTAAAAAGTTACTGGGCATTGACTATATTTGTCCTATTTGCTGTAGGGAATCTTTGCTAAAGTTTAATATAATCAAGCACATATTTTATATTTTTTTCTTTTTATTTTTTGTGAGGAAATCAGCCTTGTGCTAACATCTGCCAATCCTCCTCTTTTTTTGCTGAGGAAGACTGGCCCTGGGCTAACATCTGTGCCCATCTTCCTCCACTTTATATGGGATGCTGCCACAGCATGGCTTGCCAAGTAGTGCATCGGTGCATGCCCAGGATCCGAACTGGCAAACCCTGGGCCGCCACAGCGGAACGTGGGCACTTAACCACCTGCGCCACCAGGCCGGCCCCTAATCAAGCACATAAATACTTGATCTAATAAAAAGAGATGTTATAAAAAGTTACAATTAGCGGCCAGCCCAGTGGTGCAGTGGTTAAGTTCGGCACACTCCACTTCAGCAGCCCAGGATTTACAGGTTCAGATCTCAGGTGTGGACCTACACCACTCAATAAGCCATGCTGTGGTGGCATCCCACATATCAAATAGAGGAAGATAGGCACAGATGTTAGCTCAAGGCCACTCTTCCTCACCAAATAAAAAACAAAGTTAAAATTATAATTCTTTTGCTTTTCCCCACAAGAACTCAAGGGCAGGGCAGGGACTGAAACTGGTAGGCACTCAATAAACACTTGTTGAATGAATGAGAGGAAGGTTCAACGGGTGGAGCTTTTAACAAAGGGAAATATCAGGAAAGGTTGAAAGGGAGATTGTTACCTAGGATTCTGAAGGTCACAGGCTGGCCAGGAAGAGGGCATTGCAGACAGGAAAAAATGTCAAATAAGCAAAGTGCTGTGTATAATTTATTAATTTGTTTATTATCATTATCTTCCAATAGAACTGTAAGCCCCACAGAAGCAGGAATCTTTTGTTTCTTCACAGCTGTACCCAGTGCCTTTGACATAGTAGGCCTTCAACAAACATTCACTGACAATAAATATAGGCAATGGTACTTAGCTAAAAGCAGAGAACATATACAGTGAAAAACTGAAATGAAGTTGCAGCCAAGTGGACCAATGTATTGAACATCAGAGCGAGAATCTATATTTTATTCAGTGTACAGAAAAGAACCATTGAAAAGAGCAGTGATATGATCTGAACTCTTAACGGAAAATAAGTCAGCGGTATCCTGAGTAAGAAGATAAACGGAAAAGTCAGCGGTATCCTGAATAAGAAGAGAAAGTTATCTGTCAACATCTCACCATCTTATCTTAATTCCATCTCCTCTCCTCGCCTCTCCACACCTTCACACACTACTTAGGCTGCACTTAATATTGTCATAAACCAAATAAGACCTCAAATAAGAATACTGAAAACATTAAAACAAGCAAGCAAACAGAAACTAAAGCTGGCAACTTTCTTCTTTTTCGTCTTCTTTTTGGATTAATAATAATTGTCCCTTGATTTGTGTTTCCTTAACTGCACGATCAACTTCTTGGGGCAAATACATACATTTAATAAAATCCCGGGCAGTTTCCAGACCAAGATGAAGTCTTACACTGGATGTGCTCAACAAATTTTCTGGCGAAAATGGCATAAGATCAAAGGATTCCCAAATGGAGCTGATGGTTTAGTTATAGGGGTAAACCAGTCCTTCCTCTTCTGACACCCAGCCCCTTTCTCCCGCCTGATAATGTGGGTAATTAGGTGGAAAACCAAGTATCAGGGTGGCAGTGTGTTTTTATCCTGATTTAATCGTCCTGAAGTGGGGCCGCTGAGTCGCGAGCAGAATAAGAATTTTCAGACACAAGCCGCTCGTTCGTTTGTGCACTTTTATTTTGTGTTCAGCATGGGGACAGGACCCGTGGGCAGTAAGGAGCTGCAGCAAGTGTTCCAGCATGGGGACGGGACCCACGGGCAGTAAGGAGCTGCAGTGCAAGACTCTGTGCAGGGCCTTTATATACCATTTTTACCTATTTTACTATTGTGGAGAAATGTCAAAAGAGAAAGTATTAGGTGGTCTGGTTAGCCTCAAAGATTAGGGCATGGGGACGGATGAATAAGATGTGTCCTCGCATTCCAAAGTAAAGTTTGCCTCAAGGGGCACGTAGGCAGGTGATTAAAGTCACTGATCACCTCCTAAAGGAAATTTCTTCGCTCCTAGCCAGAGGCGATTCAGTAATGCAAGACTGAATGAAGTCTCAGGGAAAGAACTGGAAAGTGTAAAACGAGTCATAAACAAGGTTTCCACAACGTCAGTCCCAAATATCTAGCTTTTAGTTTTGTTAGGATTCCAGGCCAAGACTAACTTTGTAACCCAACAGGGTGTGGCTATTACAGCTGGAACACGACGAAGGAAACAAGTTTACCAACTGACACCGGCGACAGAGCCCAGGCGGGAACCTCCCGGCGGCCACCGCGCGCACGTGTCCGCACAGCCGGGAACAATAAAGTTGAGCTTGTTCACACGGGGCCTTGTCATCCAGGGCCTGTCGGACAAGCCTGCAAAATAAGACTCCTAGAAACTCCCTGATGTTTTCAAGACTTCTCCTCCTTCTCGGGTTTTTTTTTTCCTCACTCGCGGGACAAAAGTCCTGAGGGGAGCGGCGTGGGCTAGGCCGGGCGGGGCGCGTTTCGGGTGCAGCGGGCCCGGCGATCGCCGCGGGCAGCCCCGGGAAGGTCCCCGGTTCACGTGGAGCCGGCCGCGGGGACAGTGTCCGCGATGAAGCCCAGACCTGCAAGGTTCGTGGATAATAAGCTGAAGCAGCGAGTCATCCAGGTGGGTATTCTGCACGGCCGGGGCTCACAGTGCTCCCTCTTCGTGCCCAAGGGCACCGCTGGCCCTTTCCCGGGCTGCTCCCAGGCCGAACTCCGCTAGCCCCTTGCCCCAGTCTGGGCTCGGGCGTGGGTCTGTTGACAATTCCACTCCTCCGTCAGGCCTGCGCTCTTCACCGTGGGGCGGGGTTGCAAGGAGGAGCCCCGGACCGTGGGAGGGTGCAGCCTGGTGGGCTTGCTCGGCTCTGATCGATCTCAGCCCAGATCCGTAAGGAGGGTGGAGCTAGCCTTGGAGTTAAAATCTTCCTGTCTTGTGAAGTTAGGTCAGAAACGTTTTTCAGACGCCCACATTGTACGAGGCGCTTTGGGGGCCACAAAGAATACATTAATTTCTGTTTTCAGGAAACTTGGGGTCAGGTTGCGACACAGTAAAAGTAACATGGATCTGACGTTATAATAGGCACTTTACCTGTGGCTTTTTCGTTTTCTTAATTATCAGTAGAAAGCAATGTGTGTTAAATGTTTTGGAATGCTACAGTCAGCAGGCAGGCTTAGAGGGAGGGTGCGATTTTTCTTCACAATAGACTTTGGGAGCTATATACTCTCCTCCTTTTTTTTTTTTTTTCCCCACCTCACTATACAATCTCCTTTTTGCATCCGTCTCTTCCTGCCAGTCTCTAAATGTTGGAAGTGCACGGAGCCCCTGTGCTCTTACCTCCTCTTTCTTCATCCTCATAGCTCTCTCTTATCTATCCACACTTCCAGGTGATCTCATCCAGTCTAATACTTTTAAATACTATCTATATATTCATGACTCCTAAATTTATATCTCCAGTGCAGATTTTATCTTGAATTCCAGATTGATATATCCAAGTGCCTTCTCAACATCTCCTCTTCAATGTCTGACAGATAATCTTCAACATAACCTATCAAAAGTGAACTTGTGATATTTTCCTCCAAACCTGTCCTTTTGCAGTGTTTTCTATTTCAGTAAATGAGACTACCATCCATCCAGTTGTTAAGGCCAAAAATCTTAAGAATCGTTCTGACTCCTTTCTTTTGCTTCCTATAACCAATTAATCAACAGTTATTTGGCTTTACCTTCAAAATATACTCCAAACCCAACCACTTTTTACCATCTCCTCCTCCAACCATCCTACTTCAAACTACCGTCTCTTTTTTTTGTTTGTTTTTTGTGAGGAAGATTAGCCCTGAGCTAACATCCACGCTAATCCTCCCCTTTTTGCTGAGAAAGACCGGCTCTGAGCTAACATCTATTGCCAATCCTCCTCCTTTTTTTTCCCCAAAGCCCCAGTAGATAGTTCTGTGTCATAGTTGCACATCCTCCTAGTTGCTGTATGTGGGATGTGGCCTCAGCATGGCCGCACAAGCGGTGCGTTGGTGCGTCCCCGGGATCCGAACCCAGGCCGCCAGTAGCAGAGCGCGCGCACTTAACCCGCTAAGCCACGGGGCCGGCCCACTACCATCTCTTTATTAGACTATTGCACTAACCTCCTAGCTGAGCTCTCTGGTTCTAGTTTTACCTAAAGTCTGTTCCCCAGAAAGTAGCCAGGGAGATCCTTTTATTTATTTATATATTTATTTATTTTAGAGCTGTAGAAAATATTTTTATTTATTTTTGTTAAATTGTTTTTTTATTGAGGTCATATTGGCTTTGAATGTTGTGTATTTTTCAGTGTACATTATTATATTTCAGTTTCTGTATAGAGTGCATCATGTTCACCACCCATAGTCTAGTTTTTGTCTGTCACCATACACATGTGCCCCTTTATGCCGTTTGCCCTCCCCCCACCCCCTTTTCCTCTGGTGACCACTAATCTTCTCCTTATCTATGTGTGTCTGTTTATCTTCCACATATGAGTGAAATCATACAGTATTTGTCTTTCTCTGTCTGACTTATTTCACTTGTTGCAAATGGCACAATTTTGTCTTTTTATGGCTGAGTAGTATTCCATTGTATGTATATACCACATCTTTATCCATTCATCTGTTGATGGGTACTTGGATTGCTACCTCATCTTGGCCATTGTGAATAATGCTGCAGTGAACATAGGGGTACATATATCTTTTTGAATTGTTGATTTCATGTTCTTTGGGTAAATACCCAGTAGTGGAATAGCTGGATCATGTGGTGTTTCTATTTTAAGTTTTTTGAGAAATCTCCATACTGTTTTCCATAGTGGCTGCACCAGTTTGCATTCCCACCAGCAGTGTATGAGAGTTCCCTTCTCTCCACATCCTCTCCAACACTTGTTATTTCTTGTCTTGGTAATTATAGCCTTTCTGATGGGTGTGAGATGATATCTCATTGTAGTTTTGATTTGCATTTCCCTAATAATTAGCGATGTTGAACATCTTTTCATGTGTCTGTTGGCCATCTGTGTATCTTCTTTGGAAAAATGTCTGTTCATATCCTCTGCCCATTTTTTGATCAGGTTGTTCATCTTTTTGTTGTTGAGTTGTATGATTTCTTTATATATTTTGGAAATAAACCCCTTGTTGGATGTATGATTGGCAGATATTTCAGGAAGATGCTTTTAAAGGGAAAATTGGAGTTTGCCAGGGCCCTGCTCAGCACCCTTCAGTGGACTCGCAGACATCTGGAGTAAAACCCACCCTACAAAGCCCTACATATTCTGGCCCTGTCTACTTTTTTGTCCTTTTGCTCTCTCACTTGCTTACGCTGTCCCAACCACGTGGACCTTCTGAAACATGCCAAGCGCAGGGCTTGTGCTCTTGCATTTCCCTCACTGAATTACTCTTCCTCTGGATGTTCCCACAGCTTGCTGCTTCACTTTATTCAGGTGTCTGAGCAGTGACTCCTCGTGGCTGAATCCAGCGGCCTCTTCTCAGTCCTGTCCGCACTTGACGGCACTTCAGTGTTTGAGATTATCAGTTTCCCTCTATTGCTTTTACTCTGGGTCATTATAAAAGCAGTAGTGCTTATGGTTTAAAATAAAAGGGACAGAAGGGCATAAAATGAAAAGAAAGATTTCCTTTCATCTTTACTACACTTCTCCAGAGGTAACCGAGGGGTTTCTCTTGTATCTTTTTAAAAATTTTGTATGCATATAGGCACTTACCTATGTAATCATTTTTTAAAAAATCACACAGATGGCTCCTCTGCGTCTGTTCTACTGCTTGCTTTTTTCACTTAGCTGTACACTTTAGACATCTTCCCACAGTAGTACATTTGCCTACTTTTAACTAGCATATTAGCTATCTGTTGCTGCACAACAAATTACCCCAAAACTTAGCAGATTAAAGAGGTTTTATTTCTCTTGCCGTCAAGGAGGTTTTTGACTTGTAGTGGGTATGAGATGTACACACCATGTGTAATTCCAGATTAACTGTAGTAAACGACAGCATGCTCTGGGAGTCCAGAGAAGGGGAGATTAACTAGAACAGTCCAGCTTTGCATACCTAGTCTCTTCTCATTGCAGGCGCTTATGCAGAGACTGTTATCATGTGTTAGGGAGTCTTGAGAAGAATTGCTGTATAAGTGGGGGACCTGGACTGGATAACTAGCAAGTATTGAAACATGGAAGTTAATAGTCCAGGTTTGAAATCTGGCCCTGTAACTTAATGTGTTGCCCAGTAAGTATAGTCATGCACTGCGTAACGATGTTTCGGTCAATAACGGACTGCATATATGACAGCGGTCCCATAAGATTAGTACCATATAGTCTAGGTGTATAGTGGGCTATCACATCTAGGTTTGTGTAAGTACACTCTACAACGTTCACACAACAACGAAATCGCCTAACAACGCCTTTCTCAGATGTATCCCCATCGTCAAGCAATGCATGACTGTAATTAACCTTTTAAAGCCTCATTTAAACTTCCTTCTTATAAAATGGGGAAGACTAACATCTCCCTCATAGGATTGTGAGAACCAAAGGAGATAATGCATAAAAGTCCCCTAGAACAGGTGCATAGGGCCCTAGTTTCTGAATAGTGTTTTCATGGTGATCCTAGGCCAAAAGTAATATTTAATAGGTCTGCTTATTAAGTAGTTAGTTTCAAACAACTTAATAACTATTTAGTCCAAATAACTTAGTAGCTTTTTGAAAAAAATAATATATAAAATTGAAGGAAAATTAATATATTTGTATTTCATTCTTAAATAACCACAATCACTTAAAAGCCACAGTCACTGAGTGGTGGGGTTTGTGTGTCTGTTGGTCATGGTGCACCTTCTCACACCTTGCAGTCAGATTGACACTGCCGCTGTTGCTTCCTGTTCCACCTTGATGTTTGCATGGTGTTTGTTTTTTATTACAGCAGCTGCTGAAAACCCAGTTTTGCAAAGATATGACGTCATCAGAAAGTGATTTAATATTGAAACCATGAATTGTCTCAGGCTAGTGGTTCCCGCAGTATGGGACACGTATCAAATATGGCTGTGTTCCCTCAAATTTAAAATAGCCTCGGTGCCCTTTTGAGTTTAATGCTTTGTTCTGGGGTGTTTGGGAACCTAGGATATAGGAAGCCTTCACTTACTACCTTAGTTATTGTTATTGCATTGTCTTAGTGATTAATAATGTCAATTAAATTCTCCGATTCCAGATTTGACTGTTATTTTGTGATTTTTATTTATGTTTCTGATATGCTTTATTAATGAAGCGTTTACATTATAGTATGTTTGAATAGCTCAATCTCTTATTCATCGATTAAAATCACTGAGTTTGAAACATTGTTTCATATTTATCCTATTTTCTGTTTTAGTACCTCACCAGTAACAGATGTGGCAAATATGTGGACACTGGCGTCTTAGCATCTGATTTACAAAGAATGTACAGGTAAAGAAATGTAGTCTTCAGATGCGTGCTTTTCTTTTCTGCCGCTTTTTAAAGTTTCCACCCTGCCTAAATTTCCAATTGATGTTAATAACTGGCCTTAGTTCACCAGCCCATAAGCTTGGAATTCAATTCAGTTATACAACCATTTATCAATCACCTGTGATATGCAGGGAGCTATTCTTGTTACCAAGGGGAAGTACTGCTTCTTATCTTTCAGCACTTGACAGTCTGGTCAGGAGACAGAGATGTTATTATATTACTTCCTTTACTGTTATATTAAAAAATTAAACCCAGGGGGCTGGCCCCATGGCCGAGTGGTTTAAAGTTCCACGCACTCCACTTTGGTGGTCTGGGTTTGCGGGTTCGGATCCCAGGCACAGACCTACTTCACTCATCAGTTATGTTGTGGAGGCATCCCACGTGCAAAACAGAGGAAGATCGGCAAAATTGCTTCCTCAAGCAAAAAAAAGAGGAGGATTGGCAATGGATGTTAGCTCAGGGCGAATCTTCCTCACCAAAAAAAAACCAACAACATTAAAACCATCAAGCATGATCTCTCTCAGCTTCCTGACTCTATCTAGAAATGTGTCCCTCATTTAGTCTTCCCACTAAACATTAAGTCCTTCTCTTGTGTCTCTAATCCCACCTCTTCTGGTGTCTTGTTCGTTAATTATCCCTGCTTTGTATGTTTCAGCGTCTCTCTTTTCTTCTCCTTGGTCTGTGTATTAGTTTGCTGGGGCTGCCATAATCACAGACTGAGTGGCTTAACCAACAAAAATTTAATTCCTCACAGTTGTGGAGTCTAGAAGTCCAAGATCAAGGCATTGGCAGGGTTAGTTTCTGGTGAGGTCTGTCTCCTTGGCTTTCAGATGGCTGTCTTCTTCCTGTGTCTGCATGTAGTCTTTCCTCTGTGGGTATGTCTGTATCCTAATCTGTTCCATAAAGACACCAGTCATACTGGATTAGGGCCCACCTATATCACCTTATTTACCTTAGTTACCTGTTTAAAGGCCCTATCTTCAAATGCACTCACATTCTGAGGTACTGAGAGTTAGGGCTTCAGCCTATGAATTTTGGAGGAAGACAGTTCAGCTTATAATACTCTGCCCTCTTAACCCTCCAAAATTCAGATCTTTCTCACTTGAAAATACAAATACAGTCATTCCATCCCAGCAGCCCCAGGAGTCTTAACCCGTTTCAGTATCAACTCTAAATCCAAAATCGCATCTAAATGTCATCTAAGTCAGGTATGGGTGTGACTGGAGGCATGATTGATCTCGAAGCAAAATTCCTCTCCAGCGGTGAGCCTGTGAAACCAGACAACAAGCTGTCTGCTTCCAAAATACAGTGGTAGGACAGGCATGGGGGATAGACAGTCTCATTCCAAAAGGGAGAAATAGAGAAGAAGAAAGGGATCATGGTCTCAAGAAGTCCGAAACCTAGCAGGGCAAATTCTACTCGATCTTAAGGATAATCCTCTTTGGCTCAGTTCTCCGTCCTGTGGGCTCATTAGGATGGCTCCCTGCCTTTGGAACCGAAGAGGAGACAGTGCTGCTCCCCAGGCCTGTGTCACCTGGGCCGGCTGAGGCAGTGACAGCCCTGCCAACCTCAAGGCCTCCTTCAGAGTCATTCTTTGCCTTTCTTGAAGGATAACGCATATTCACAGCTGGATAGCTCCTTTGGCCTGTCCTGTAGATTCCCAGAAGTCCAACAGCCTTCCTTCATTTCGTCCCTTCTCTGTCCTTTTCAGTATAAGTTGGCAGTATTCCTGATGCTATACACCATCTCTAATCAAGAAAAATTATAGTAGTAAAAATATAAACTAGAAGTTCTTTGAAAATAGGTTTATGACCAGTGTGAGTACAGTGACATAATTATATATTAGTGCAAATTTAGGTGATTGATTTAGATTGGGCTTAATGGAATAATACTGATAGAGAACACTGCACTAAACAACTTCTTATGTTTTTCAGTATAGACTATGGTCGAAGAAAAAGAAATGCTTTTAGGATACAGGTAGAAAAAGGTGAGTCTTTTAGTGTTAGAGCTGAATTATTAATAAAGTTATAGAAAGAAGTGTTTTAGCTCATGACATTTTTCTTTTTGTTTCAGTGTTTAGCATAATTAGTAGTGAGAAAGAACTTAAGGATATAACAGAATTAGAAGATGAACATCTGGCAAAAAGAGCAAGACAAGGGGAAGACGATAATGAGTAAGGATTGCAAAACGAAGAGTTTTTTCCTAAAACACGGACTTGATTACATTACATTGCTACTTGTAAAACTTTCCATAGCTATTCATTGCCAGTGAGGCAATGCATAATACTTACCTAACCTCTCCAGGCCTTTACCTCAGACGTACTGAGTGCTCACCATTCCCCAAAGAGGTCAAATTCTTTCTTTGACCGTGCCTTTGTATGGGTGGTTTTCTGTAACTGGAATGTTCGTCTCTCCTTCACGAACTCCCACTCAGCCTTCAGGAGTCAGCCTTCACAAGCCTATGTTACTGCCTTTGTCCGGCCTTCTTAGATTCCTTTCTTAGTGTTTCCTTAACTCCTCCTTGTAGATATTTGTTATGACACTTTGAGCATATAGCGTTGAGATTATTTGTTTACTTGTTTGCATTACCAGCAGAACTGTCTCATTAGCTTTGTTTTTCTCTGCCCTAATACAATGCCAGATACATCAAAAGGTGCACATTAATTTTGTTAAGAAATAATATTACTGAGGTTTTTTTTATAGCTTATTACAGTATAATTGATATACAATAAGCTGTACATTTTTAAAGTGTACATTTTATTGTTTTGACATGAATTTAGTCATTAAACCATCACCATAGGGGCTGGCCCTGGGGCGTAGTGTTTAAGTTTGGTGTGCTCCGCTTCAGTGGCCCAGGTTCATGGGTTCGGATCCCGGGCATGGACATACACCACTCCTCAAGCCATGCTGTGGTGGCGACCCACATAGAAAACATAGAGGAAGATTGGCACAGATGTTAGCTCAGGGCCAATCTTCCTCAAGCAAAAAGAGAGGAAGATTGGCAATGGATGTTAGCTTAAGACCAATCTTCCTCACAAAAAAACAAACAAACAAACAAACAAAAACCCTGACAAAACAAATGAACTTTTAAAAAAAACCATCACCATAAGCAAGATACTGAACATTTGCGTCAACCCCGCAAGTTTTCTTGTGCGTCTTGGCAATTTATTTCTCCCTCCATCCCCATTCCCAGACAGCCATTGATTTGCTTTCTGTCACTACCTGCATTTTCTAGAATTTTATTTTATTTTATTTTTTTTATAATTTTATTTATTTATTTTTTCCCCCAAAGCCCCAGCAGATAGTTGTAGGTCATAGCTGCACATCCTTCTAGTTGCTGTATGTGGGACGCGGCCTCAGCATGGCCGGAGAAGCGGTGCGGCGGTGCCCGCCCAGGATCGAACCCGGGCCGCCAGCAGCGGAGCGCACGCACTTAACCGCTAAGCCACGGGGCCGGCCCTAGAATTTTATATAAATGGAATCATACAGTATATACTTTGTAAATCTGGATTCTTTCACTCAGCATAATGATTTTGAGATTTATCAGTGCTGTGTGTGTCAATAGTTCATTGCTTTTTATTGCTGAGTACGTAGGATATGCCAGGATTTTTTTATCTATCTATTGATGGACAGTTGGGTTGTTCCCCCTTTTTGGCTATTGAAAATAAAGCTCTATGAACACTTATGTCGAAGACTCTACGTGGAGAGTGTTTTCATTTCCCTTGGTAAATGCCGAGGAGTGGCATAGCTGAGTCAGATGGTAGCTGCATATTTACCTTGATAAGAAACTGCCAGACTGTTTGTATCGTTTTACCTTTGCATTAGCAGTATGTGAGAGTTCCACCCTTTCCATATTACCAACGCTTGGTATAGTCAGTCTTGAATTTTAAATAATCTCTTACCATAAGTGTGGTGTTAGCTATAGGTTTTTTTATAGATGCCCTTTATCAGATTGAGGAAGTTTCCTAATGTTCCTAGTTTGCTGAGAGTTTTTATCATGAATAGGTATTACATTTGTCAAATGCTTTTTATGCCCTTATTGGAAGATTTTATTATGGCTTTCTCCTTTATTCTATTAATTTGGTGAATTACATTGATTTTTGAGTGTTAAGCCAGTCTTGCATTCCTGGGATAAACCCCATTTGGTCCTGATATATTACCCTTTTTATGTATTGTTGAATCTTTTTCTATAGATATTTGCATCTATATTCATATTGGTCTGAATTTTAATATTAGTTGGAAGTTGTTTTTTTGTGTCTATTTTATGAAAAAGTTTGTGTAATGTTACTATTATTTCTTTCTTGAATATTAATTAGAATTCACCCAGAATTCATCTAGGCCTCGAATATTCTTTTTGGAAGGATTTTGGTAACATTTAATTTTGCCAGATATAGGGATCTTCCCATTTTCTTTTTCTTCTTATGTCAGTGTTGGTAAATTGTACTTTTAAAGAAATTTGTAAATTTCATCTAAGGTGTGGAATTTGTTGGCATAAAGTTTCAAAATATTCTGTTTTCCTTCTAATGTTTATAGGATCTGTAGTGATAGTTCCTTTTCATTCATTATAGCTGCTGCTTTTTCATTTGGATTTACCATAATTTTCTTAACTAGTTACATATTTGTAGACGTTTGGTTGTTTCCAGTTTTACACTATTTTGTGTGTAATAAATAATCCTTTAGTGCATATCTCTGTACTTATTACTTTGGGGTATTTTTTATGTTAAATTCCTGAAGTGGTATTTCTGGGGTCAAAGAGATTTATATTTTTAAGATTTCTGGTACATTTGGAGTTTCCATCCAAAAAAAGTTGCCTCAGTTTATACTCCCAACAGCTTTGTGTGAAGAGTGCATTTCTCTGCACCCTTGCAATCCTAGTTATACTGTTATTTAATCTTTGCCAGTTTTATAGGAAAAAAGTGATCATATTGCTTTTACTTATAATTTTTTTAATAACCAATGAGGTTAAATGTTTTTTTGACTGTTTCTTTTTTTTTTTTTTGCTGAGCAAGACCAGCCCTGAGCTAACAGCTATTGCCAATCCTCCTCCTTTTTTTTTCCCCCTTTCTCCCCAAAGCCCCAGTAGATAGTTATATGTCATAGTTGCACATCCTTCTAGTTGCTGTATGTGGGATGCTGCCTCAGCATGGCCGGATAAGCAGTGCGTTGGTGCGCGCCCGGGATCTGAACCCCGGCCGCCAGTAGTGGAGTGCGCGCACTTAACCACTAAGCCACAGGGCTGGCCCCTTTTTTGTTTCTTTTTTTTTGTGAGGAGATCAGCCCTCTGCTAACATCTGCCAATCCCCCTTTTTTTTTTTTGCTGAGGAAGACTGGCCCTGGGCTAACATCCGTGCCCATCTTCCTCCACTTTATATGGGACGCCGCCACAGCATGGCTTGCCAAGCAGTGCGTCGGTGCGCGCCCGGGATCCAAACTGGCCAGCCCTGTGCTGCTGCAGCGGAGCGTGCGCACTTAACCGCTTGCACTACTGGGCCGGCCCCTTTTTGACTGTTCCGCGTTTCCTTTGTGATTTGCTTGCTTATGGGTTTTGTCTTTCATTTGAGAGGTATTTGAACTTTCCTTAATAGTTGTCAGAGCTCTTTGTATAAAATAGCACTTCTTTTTATATGTTTTACAAATGCTTATCCCGTTTTGCCATTTGCCTTTTTATTTTTGTTTATCGTGTCTTTTGATTAGAGAAGTTCAACATCTTTACCTAGTCAGATCTATTAGTCTTTTCCTTTATGGTTTATGCTGATATGCTTAGAAAGACCTCTATCACAAAAGCATATAGAATAATTACCTATACTTCTTACTTGTTCCTTTATGGCATCACACTTAACTCTTTAATCCATTTGTAAGTAATTTTGTTTGTAGGGCATGAATTGTAGGGCAAAACAGTATTTTTCCAGATAGTTAAAATAATCCACCTTCTTCACATTGATTAGAAACGTCCTGCTATAATTAACAAGACAAGAAATAGCATGTGTTGGAGAGGATGTGGAGAGAAGGGAACTCTCATACACTGCTGGTGGGAATGCAAACTGGTGCAGCCGCTATGGAAAACAGTATGGAGATTCCTCAAAAAATTAAGGATAGAACTACCATATGATCCAGCTATTATTGCACTTCTGGGTATTTATCCAAAGAACATGAAAACACGAATGTGAAAAGATTTGTGCACCCCTGTGTTCACTGGAGCATTATTCACAACAGCCAAGACTTGGAAACAACCTAAATGCCCATCAATGGATAAATGGATAAAGAAGATGTGGTATATACACAGAATGGAATACTACTCAGCCATAAAAAAGGTGAAATCTTGCCATTTGCAACAACATGGATGAACCTTGAGGGTATTAGGCTAAGCGAAATAAGTCAGACAGAGAAAGTCAAATACTGTATGATCTCACTCATAAATGGAAGATAAAAACAACAATAACAACAACAACAAACAAACAGATAAAGAGACTTGTGGTTACCAGAGGGGAAGGCTGGGGGGAAGGAGGAGGGCAAAAGGAGTGATAGGGCACATGTGTATGGTGACGGATGGTAATTAGTCTTTGGGTGGTAAACGTGATGTAATCCACACGGAAATCAAAACACAATGATGTAGACTTGAAATTTGTGTAATATTATAAACCAGTATTACCTCAAGATAAAAAAAAATTTCTAAAAAGAAATGCCCCAAATTCTATTAATTGAATTTAATGAATAACAAAGGAATTCATGTCTTAATTATGAAGGCCGGTTATAGTATTCATGTAAACCTTTTTACTTAGGAACAGTCCTTTTCTCATCTAATTATTTTCTAAAGAAATTATATTATATAGTAGCAGAGTCCTGTAGTTACTTGATGCTATTAGGTATCAACTCAGTTATAATGAACTGAGACTACATTTTCAGTTTGTCCTTGTTAGGATTTATGCTTGTTTTTTTCTGTATTGTATGAAAAGTTCTTTTTACCTTCATTCCTCATGAACAGACTTGGAAAAGTTACATTTGGTCTCATGGCTTGGTCATATTAAATTTGTGAATTTGTTACTCGAAGTGCTTAATTATGGCTTGCTGGAATATTTCTTCTACTGGCATCTGATGTTCCTAAGTGAGACTCTTGGATCTGATGGAAATTTTGTCACTTTTTATTTATTGTCACTTTTATTTATTGCTAGGATAAAGATAACCACAATTTATTAAGCATTTACTGTGTGCTAAGGACTTTGCAGGCTTTCATTTAATCTTCTAATAACCTGGTGAGGTAGACATTATTTGTTATCTCCATTTTATAGATAAGAAAGATGAGGCTCAGAGAGGTTAAGTGAACTGGTAACTGGTAAAGCTGGGTTTTAAATCCAGATTTCTCTGATTCCAAAGCCTGGGCTCTTAATTAACCACCGTAATATTTTGCCTCACTATATTTTTTTGTTTTGCGTATAGTTTTTTTATGTTGTGGGATAAAAGCCTTTAAAATATTTCTTTTCCTCTTTTCCCTGAGATATACTGAAAGCTATTCTGATGATGATTCAAATATGGAAGATTACCCAGATCTACAGGTAAGCCACATGTTTATTGGACCCGCTTTGATTTTTTTTTTAAATCATTATGAACACTTCTTAGAAAAAAATAAAGAATAGAGTAAGAGACTTTGAACATCTTCATCAATAAATAATTGAATAATTCCTGTCTTAATGAACTCTTGGATTAACCATCTGCCCAGTATTTGTCTGTATAGCCTGTTATACAGGCAAAAGGAAGGGGAGAGAATAGCCAGAAATAAGGGCAGACAGGATTAGAAAGGGGAATTAATAGTAAAAGTGGAGAAAAGGATACATTTTCTTCCAGAGAGCTGGCATTGCCAATAAATAGGCTTGGATTAAAGGGAAGTGTGGGACTAATATGTCAAATTATTCATACATTACTCTCTATTTTTTTTCCCATCAGTAATTCAGTTCTTGAATTTAATAACAAAGTCATGATGATACTCAGTTATGTTTGACCCGGTTTTGAATTAATGGGATGGTAATGACTCTCATTGACTACCAGCTAATTTTCATAATTACTTCTGTTATATGTTTTTATTTAAAGATTTTTATTTATTTATTTTTTTCCCCCAAAGCCCCAATAGATAGTTGTATGTCATAGTTGCACATCCTTCTAGTTGCTGTATGTGGGACGCGGCCTCAGCATGGCCGGAGAAGCGGTGCGTTGATGTGCGCCCAGGATCCGAACTCTGCCAGCAGCAGAGGGCGTGCACTTAACCGCTAAGCCACAGGGCGGGCCCTGTTATATGTTTTTAAAGTGACCATACTCATTTGGTTTTATTTGACTGCCAATTATGAATTAGTCCGTTAAGTTGGAGTGGAGGGGGGATACATCGTTTTGAATAGTAAATGTTTGTGAGTCATCTTAGAGTGGATGCCTATATTTTCTGACTGTAAATGTGAGAGAAGTTGTTGAAAGGAGAATATAGAAAATGCATGACTATAGGTAATCAAACTTCCGTGAGTACCTATTAATTTATGCTAAAATCATGTTTCTGCCAGTCAGCAAATCATATGAACAGTTCCCTGCTCTCCTTATATCGGAAAGGAAATCCTGCTTCTGTTTCAAGTGCTCCTGAGGTGGAGCAAAGAGAAACCACTGTTTCAACACCACGGATAACTTCCAAAACAGGCTCCGTTCCTTCGAAGACCCCTGCCAGTGGTTCTGAAGGAGAATGGTTTATCGACAAAACCCCAAGTGGAGAGAAAGACAGTTTTTTCCTGGACCTGTCAGATGAGAAAAGTAATCGTAAGAAGCCAATATTTGAGATAGAGGTATTTTTATAGTGAGATTTTAGTCCCATGTCGTTGGAGTACATTACAACCTTGTCGTATATCATATCATTTATAATATACCTTGAATATAATATCAAGCAGATTCTTGTGTTTTATGAAAGACAGGAACTTGGAAATACGTCTGGAATTTGATCACTTCCCACTGTTGCCATCATTTCTGTCCTAGTCCAAGCCTCTGCTCTTTCTTGCCTTATCTATTGAAAGAACCTTCCAACTGGAGTCTGCTTCCATTCTTGTTCCCCTAGTTTATTCTTCACACAGAGTTGTCTTTTTCACAAGTCAAGTCAGATCATTGTCATTCTTGTATTAAAAACCCTAAAATGGTCCAAAATCAAAGATCTTGGCAATGGCGGATAAAGCCCCATATGATGTGGCTGTCCTGCTGCGTCTTTCATCTCACTTGCTCCTACCCTCGTCCCCCGTCTGCCGGCTTTGCTTCAGCCAATGCTGAGTTTCTTGCTGTCTCTAGAACACACAAAGCCCTCTCTCACTCGAGGCATTTGCACTTGGACTTTCTCTGGAACACTCTTTCCCCAGGTTTCTGTGGTTCACTCTGTCGTCTCTCTTCACATCTCTTTTCACATGTAATCCTCGCAGAGAGGCCCTTCCTGACGTGTGACACAGTACATCGTTGGTAGCTCTGTTTTCTAACCCTGCTTTATTTCTTTAAGTACTTACAATCACCTGACTTGTGTAATTGTTGAGTTGGGTTTTTTCTTTGTCTCCATCCACTAGAATGTCAGCTCCAGGAGAGCACGGACTTTGTTTTATTTAACAGTGTGTCCCTGGCTACAATATATCTAGCACGAGGTAGTCAGTTTGTTGAGTTAGTGCTTAATGAACTTCCGGAGATGCACTTACTAGTGAGCATTAAAGAATATCTGCTTTGGGTATGTGTTATAGAAAGTTGGTACTTGTGGGAAGAAGGGAGGAGAGTTGCTAGAACAGCAGTGTGGTTTATTTTCAGTTTGGGATAATACCTTGAAGGATCTTACATAAGTGGATACACTATGAAAATGGATAGAATGAGTAGACACCCCCTTCTTTTTTCACCTTTTTAAAATGAAGCATACCATACATAAAGGAAAGTAAAGCTTGATGAATTATCACAAAGTGAACATATTGGGCATCATTTTTAGCTGATTCTTTTAATGCCTGCCAGAGGGGAGTTTAAAGTAATTTATCCCATGAACGAGTGGCTGAATGCGCTCCAGGGCTGTCCAGTGTGGTAAGTGCTAGCCACCCGGGGCTGTTGAGCACTTGAAATGTGGCTAGTGCGAATGAGGAACTGAATTTTTAATGTTTTTTTTGTTGTTTTTTTGTTATGAGGAAGATCAGCCCTGAGCTAACATCCATGCCTCCTTTTTTTTGTGCTGAGGAAGACTGGCCCTGGGCTAACATCTGTGCCTATCTTCTTCCACTTTATATGGAACACCACCACAGCGTGGCCTGACAAGTGGTGCATCAGTGCGCGCCCGGGATCCGAACCCAGGCTACCAGCAGCGGAGCGCGTGCACTTAACTGCTACGCCACGGGGCTGGCCCCTGAATTTTTAATTTAAATTTATGTTTAAAAACTAATAGTCAATTCATTTATTAGAAAATTTCTAAGTATGTTTGGAACAACTTGGGTATGTGAATCTCCTTTTTCAACTGTAAATTTTATGAAATCTAAATACAAATCAAATATTTCCCATGAGAATTTAGTGTTCAAATTGAGATGTGCTGTAAGCATAAAGTACATGTTGGACTTTGAAGACTTACTACAAAACAATATAAAACATCTCAATAATAATTTTTTATACTGACTATATGTTGAAATGATAATGTTTTGAATATATCTGGTTAAATAAAATAGATTATTAAATTAATTTCACTTGTTTCTTTTTTCCTTTTTTAAACGCGGCTACTAGAAAAATAAAATAAGTGGCTCACATTACATTTTTCTTGGACATTGCTGCCCTAAGTGGTTTCCAAGAACTAAGCCTTTCTATTTGGCAAAACCCTTCCCCTTTTGAATTGTTAATGGGTCTTTTCTAAATCTCTTTAGTTTAATCATTTGTCATTAGAAAACATTATTATGGTTGGCAAGGAAGGAAAGAACTTGACTCTTGTGTTGAAGTATACTTTTTTGTGGCTGTCAGAGCAGCTCTGTAGTCATAGTTAATTTAGTGATTCATCAGACATCAAATGAACACCAACTAGGAGGCTCAGTGAGAAATAGAAGACGAACGTTAGTGTCCTAACTCTAGAAGTTCACAATTCAGTGAGAGAGACATTGACAAATAAATCATTCAAATACAAGGCAGACTATGGTAGGCTATAATCCAGTTGCAAATTCAGTATTCTGGGAATGTGAGGAAGAGATTAATTCTAACTAGAAGAATCTGAGGAGGAAGTTTTCAAATGTTAGGCTATAAACTGAGCCTTAAGGCTATGGGGAAGAAGGACATGCCCAGCAGAGGCCATCCTTGAGCAGAGAGGTTGGGAATAGCTAACAGGGCTGAAAGTGCTAGGGCAGGAGTGGATTTTTTTAATAGTGCCCATCTTTAGAAAAACATTAATGGCATTATAATTTCAAGCATGGCATATTTAAATTGCCTTTCTTTCCAGGATTCAAAAGATTCTTCTCTTCTGGAGAGTAATAAAAAAAAGAAAGGCAGGCTAAAGAGCAAAGGAAGCAAAAGGAAGCAGGAAGATCTTCAGGAAGTAGATGGACAAATAGAAGCTGTCCTGCAAAAGAAAGGTGAGACTCGAGTCTCGTGGGGGGCGCTGGTTGTGTTTGTGTTGAGAGAGGCTTCACTGTTCCAGGCTGTTAGGCTTGGGGGACCTTCCGTGTGCAGAGATGTTTATGAGAAAATATTCCAGTATCTAATGGACCTTTGTTTACTTAAAGATTATTAAGTATAATTCTGAGTTACTACTAAGTCACTAATCTTTTCATCTCCTCCTTTTTTGTTTACCAGCTAATACCAGGGGGCTAGACTTGCAGATCTCCAGCGTGAAGTTTGAAGATGTTGGAGGCAATGATACAACATTAAAAGTTAGTTCAAATTCAGAATTTGACCTCAAATGGGTATATTGCTGATCAGTTATACAAGCAAAGCCCACCTATTTGTTTCCACTAGGAACTGGGTGTAGAAAAGGAGACTGGGAAGGTGAGACGGGCAGACCTGACTTGTACCCTTCAGGGTATTGAGGAATAAAAGATGCACCCTCTCTTCAGCTTTGTCGCTGTTTTAATTATAGTGTACATGTGTAAGATACATGCTTGATAGGTAATTTTTTTTTTTTTCAGGTGAGGAGTATTGGCACTGAGCTAACATCTGTTGCCAATCTTCCTCTTTTCGCTTGAGGAAGATTGGCCCTGGGCTAACATCCGTGCCCATCTTCCTCTACTTTATATGTGGGAGGCCACAGCATGGCTTGATGAGCCGGGCGTAGGTCCACACCTGGGATCCGAACCCATGAACCCTGGGCTGCGGAAGTGGAGCACATGAACTTAACCACTACGCCACTGGGCCAGCCCCTATAAGTAATCATTTTTGTTTTTTTTGTGAGGAAGATCGGCTCTGAGCTAACATCTGCCAGTCCTCCTCTTTTTTTTGCTGAGGAAGACCGGCCGTGGGCTAACATCCATTCCCATCTTCCTCCACTTTATATGGGACGCCGCCACAGCATGACTTAACAAGTGGTGTGTCGGTGTGCGCCAGGGATCCGAACCGGCGAACCCCGGACCGCCGCAGCGGAGTGCGCGCACTTAACCGCTTTCGCCACCAGGCCGGTCCCATAAGTAATATTTTAACTGTAGTAATAATAATGGTTACTATTTATTTTTTAGTATCTGCTCAGTTCCAGTTACCACACTAGTTACTTGTTGTTATATCTGCAGGGTAGATGTTATTGCAGCTTAGGAAATGGAAGCTCAGAGAGATTATTCTGAAGTCACACAATAGATACCTGAGCTGGGATTCAAACTCAGGTGTAACTCTAAAGCCTGTACTCTATCTACTGTATTTTGCTGCTCCAAAGAATAGGATGTTTCATTCCACATTGATTCTTTCTCTCTTGGGCTATGAAAGACGTCTTTCCTGTTTATTCTCTGCCAGGAAGTCTGCAAGATGCTCATACACATGCGTCACCCGGAGGTGTACCACCACCTGGGCGTTGTACCCCCCCGTGGAGTTCTCCTTCACGGACCGCCAGGCTGTGGGAAGACATTGCTGGCACAGGCAATTGCTGGGGTGAGGTTTGCTGACATTGTTTTTGCTTTTGTTATTTTTATTTGTTTGTTTTTGTTTTTTCTCTTTGGTCAACTTGAACCAGACTTGGCATATTCTCAGGAGGACTGATCCCTTCTTCATTGTTTACCTTTTTCATGCTGCTGTTTTATTTTTAATGTATCCAATTATTTACATGGCGAGGACTGGGTGGGAAGCAAAATAATGTAGCTGGAAACAACCCTTTTTTTAGCATGTGGTTTATAATTTAGTTACTTCTCTTTCCCTTTAAGCCAGTGGTTCTCAAGAGCAGTATAATAAGAAAACTAAGGATTGTGTTGTTTTTCATAGAGCTAAATTTATTCAAAATTTCCATTTCGTCATGTTCTTCTACTTTTTAGTGTTAAAATATGCTTTCTAAAGTCATGGAGATGTAATGTACAGCATGGTGACCACAGTTAACGCTGTACTGCGTATTTGAAAGTTGCTGAGAGGGCCGGCCCCATGGCTTAGCAGTTAAGTGTGCGTGCTCCGCTGCTGGCGGCCCGGGTTCGGATCCCGGGCACGCACCGATGCACCTCTTCTCTGGCCATGCTGAGGCCGCGTCCCACATACAGCAACTAGCATGATGTGCAACTATGACATACAACTATCTACTGGGGCTTTGGGGGAAAAATAAATAAATTAAAAAATAATAATAAAAAAAAGAAAGTTGCTGAGAGAGTAAATCTTAAAAGTTCTCATCACAAGTAAAAAAAATTCTGTAACTGTACGGCGACAGTTGTTAATTAGACTTAACTGTGTTGATCATTTTGCAATATATATAAATATCAAATCATTATGTAGTACACTTGAAACTAATACAGTGTTGTGTGTTGATTATAGTTCAATAAAAAAATAAATTAAAACAAACAAGCAAAAAATATATCCTTTCTAAAATTGTGATAATAGATACTTGGCAAAATAAAAAGTTAGCAATCTTATTTTAGTCCCATCAGATTTTTCAGAAACTGTAAAGTATTGGGAGGTAAAATGCAAAATGTCTGAGTAACTTTACTTTGAAGAATAGCATACTATACCAGTCACTAACAGATTAGTGCTCTATGAAAGAAAATCATTCTTATTGGAGAACTTGATTGATTTGCCTCATTTATTCATTTGTTGACTAAATCTGTTGTGTGACTGCCATATGATAGACATTGAAATATAGTGATAAATACAGCAAACCCAGTGTTTGTGTTTAAGGAGTTTTACATTCTAATATGAGAGACAGACAGTAAACAGTCATTCATACAAATAAATGTTGTACATAGTTTCAATTGTAATAAGTGGGAGACAGAAGAAGTACAAAATACTGTGTGGTATGTTGTTGGGATACCCAAGTTAAGAGCTGGAGTCAAAGAAAATGTGGTTGAGGAAGTGAACTTTCAAGATAGCTGGAAGAGTGAGTAGGACCTAGGCAGGCTTGTTGCCATTCGCATCGGTGGGACGGCCGTGGTTTCTTTTCCTGGCCTTAAAGAGCCTGCCTCCTCTGATAGTAACTGGCTACTTCTCTGGGTTTAGGGGTGGAGAAGTGCTAGTGGGGTGTGTGGGAGACAACTAACTATTTCACAACCCCTGCTATTTTCTTTCCCACAGATAAATAACAGATAAAATGGTTTTGGCTCAGCTCTAAGTGGGGGGAAACATATCTCTTGAGATTCAAGACCCTTTATCACAAGAGATAATAACAGAGTCTTATAGTGATATCCGTAAAGTAAAAACAAGTAGAAGGTATCCAGTCGATGTGTTTGAATAAAAGCGTAGATTTTTAAAAAATCTTTTTCATTGGACCAACACAAAAAGATGACGTTCCTCAGAAAATGAGTCGTTTAAAAAATGTAATTTTGAGAGAGGGACTGAATAAGGAAAAAGTAGGGAAGTTAGAATGTGAAAATTTGGTCATTCTTTTATGTATTTGTGCATAGGAACTCGAGATGCCGATTCTGAAAGTAGCTGCTACGGAGATTGTATCGGGAGTATCTGGAGAATCTGAACAGAAGCTGAGAGAACTATTCGATCAAGCTGTGGTGGGTTGGCTAATAACTAATGTCAGGTGGTCAGATTGTATAAGGCTGTTTTGAAGATCCTATTTTCTCTAATGCTAGTATTTGTGTAACCGAGCGAAAAGGGGCTCATTCTGCTCACCGCAGTCTGGTGCCAATCAATTGCAAAGAAGCCAGTGGTTGAGAAAGGAAAGTTTATATGATTAGCTAGCATAATCAGAAGATGGCGGACTAGTGTCCTAAAGAACCGTCTTAAAAACATACAGAATCTTGAGGCAGTTATATAGGGAAGGAGGGGGTTTAGTAATGTCAGCCATCTGGTGTGATAGACTACAAGGCTCCTCATTTTCTTTTTCTTCTGTCATTTGTGATGGATACCAACGCAGAGTTTTTCTTTCTGGAGGTCATCATGTTCCTGGGGGACTCAGAGAACAAAGATATCATCTTATCACAGCTGGGAGATATATGTAAGCAAGAGTCATAGAACTAGCAGATCATGTATTTTGCAAAAGTGATAAGTGCCTAATCATCTAGGCTAGGTGCAGGCTAGAGTGCATTCTCAGAGACTAGTGAGTCAGGACCACAGTTACAGTATTGCCTCCTTTCCCAAAGATGGCTTCCCTCAGGCTAACCTAAGATCTAGCTGTTACATTTGTCAGCCCATTCACTGGACATTCTGTTGTAAACTTGGTAATTTGCTGCCCTTGATGGCTAAATATTTAAAGTAGATTTACTGATGTGGACTGTTGGCTGAAATAATCTGTTTAATCTGAAATCAAACATAAATATAATTGGTGAGAAGTTCTGGGCTGTCATCCCCAGTAGTCATATGTTGAAAATAGATTATCCTTGTGATATTTTCTTTGACTTTTACTTTCCTCCTTTTAGGTTTGACCAAGCAACTTGTAGGCAGTGTGAAAATTTTTAGCATTTAGGATTATCACATTATAAAAACAACCATAGGAATGCCAGGATAAACTCTTCCCTATTTGCATAATTGAAGCTGTGCAAAGAAAATTCTGCCACCAGAGAAATTACAGATTGGATTTTATCCTAATTGTAATTCATGTTGTTAAAATTTGGGTGTTTAAGAACTGAGGAAGATGACATCTGTGTCCAATTAAATTTTTATCTTCATTATAGTGTAATGGTTAAATGCCTGTACTTTCAAGTCAGAAACACAGGTTCAAATCCCTGAACCACCACGTACTGATTATTACTAATTGTTACTAATTGTGTAATCTTGGACAAGAAATTTAACCACTCTAACCCTTAGTTTCCTTACTAGTAAACTGGGTTAATACTACTACTCAAATCTCATGGGGTTGTTGAAAGTATTACATGAGAGGATTCTTTTTTTTTCTGGTGAGGAGATCAGCCCTGTGCTAACATCTGCCAATCCTCCTCTTTTTTTGCTGAGGAAGACTGGCCCTGGGCTAACATCCGTGCCCGTCTTCCTCCACTTTGTATGGGACGCTGCCACAGCATGGCCTGCCAAGCAGTGGATCAGTGTGCGCCTGGGATCTGAACCGGCAAACCCCAGGCCGCCTCCGTGGAGTGCGCACACTTAACTGCTTGCGCCACCGGGCCAGCCCCGAGGATTCTTATAAAACCTTTAATGCGGTGCCCAGCGCACAGCAAAAGCCCTGTAAATATTAGCTGTGACATTATGCACATTTGAGCAGTTGCTAGTCATCACTGTGGTTGAAAACTAAAAAGTGGTGAAAAGTTTAATTTTATGTTATTATTCGCACCCAGAATATATTGGGACTGGTGAACATGGCCAATGCCACTGCTAGAAGCCGATGTGAAATTAGAAGAGAAATTGTATTTTAGCAGTAATTGAGACAATATTCTTAAAAATAGCAAGAATGTAGAAGGCATCTACTTGATTTGATGTATAGACTGACATTGAAAAAGGTGTGGATGGTACAGGCAGATGCAGAGAAAGGATGCGAAGGGTACTGTGCAGAGCGAAGCTGAACTGTTTCGGGTGTTACCCGTCTTCCAAAATGAGCTCGAGTTAATTGTTAAATTGGCATGCACAGCCAGAGGACAAGTCGTAAATTTTGTGTTTATGGGAAGCACAATGATGAATGAGGGTAAAAGAGATGAAGGGCATCTTCAGATTGTTACTTCTGTGTTTCTGTCTCTCTCTGGACCAGTTCTGAGCTGGTACGATGCCCGACAGCAGATGCTCAATGAATATATGGTCCAGCACCCCTCTTTCCCAGACCTCCTGTTCCCTAATGAAATTGAGTACAATAAGTATATGGATCAGAGAACAAAAAGGTCAAACCAAGTCAAGTGGTTCTTTGTTGAAAACTGTATGCTTTCTTTAGGCCGAATTCTGATGACCACCACTTAATCTTTCTTCCCTCCCTTGTTTTTGTGAGGAAGGTTAGCCCTGAGCTAACATCTGCCAACCCTCCTCTTTTTTGCTGAGGAAGACTGGCCCTGGGCTAACATCCGTGCCCATCTTCCTCTATTTTTTTATGTGGGACGCCGCCACAGCATGGCTCGACAAGCGGTGCATCTGTGCGCACCCGGGATCCGAACCTGCAAACCCCGAGCCGCCAAAGCAGAGCACGCGCACTTAACCGCTACGCCACCGGGCCGCCCCCCACCTTTTTCTTACTCAGTTTTCTGGGTCAGTGACAAATACTGTTGTGCTTGCTTTCTGAGACCTTCGCTCTCTGTGACTTGACTCTTTTGTAACTGGGTGATGTGTCCAGCAGTCACAGGTGCTCCTTTGTGAACATTGTCATGAGAAGGATTGAGAAGAGAGCCAGCTAGTGATGGGCCAATTTTCTTTGCCTTCAAAATGCAATGGTCCCCATGGTTTTGAGATGTCTTGGCCAGGCTCAGAGTCTCTTAGCATAATCAGTGTCACTCCTAACCGCTGAATAATTAAGAATGAGCTGTGCTTTAGATTGTATATTTAGATGTTTTTATTTAAATTTTTCATTTTAACTGATCCGTATCTCATTTTGTTTGTTTTTATTGTGATGTTTAACTTAAGTTTACTATTTTAAACATTTTTAAGTGTACAGTTCTGTGGCATTAAGTACGCTCATATTGTTCTGTAACCATCACCCCCATCCATCTCCAAAATTGTTCATCTTCCCAAACTGAAGCTCTGTACCCATTAACAACTAACTCCCCTTTTTCCCCTCCCTCCAGCCCCTACCAACCACTATTCTGCTGTCTGCCTCTGTGAATTTGACTATTCCAGGTAGTTGATGCTTATATTATATCTTAATTTATTCTGTCTTAACTCTGATCTAGTTTATGTTTAAAAACAGACTGAAGATGATCATTATCCACACTGATGTAGTCGAACTTTACCATCTTCCCTTATTCAGTGTAGTCTTCAAAATAAGCCTCTGGTTGTTTCACTATGGGCTGATGAAAAAGTTCTGGAGATGGATAGTGGTGATGGTTGCACAACAATGTGAACATACTTAATACCGCCAAACTGTCCACTTAAAATGGTTAAAATGGTAAATTTTATATATATTTTATCACAATAAAAAAAGCAAAGCCTCTGGTGCTGTTGCTTTTTTTTTTGGTGAGGAAGATTGGCCCTGAGCTGACATCTGTTGCCAGTCTTCCTCTTTTTGCTTGAGGAAGATTGACCCTGAGCTAACATCTGTGCCAGTCTTCCTCTATTTTGTATGTGGGACGCTGCCACAGCATGGCTTGATGAGTGGTGCGTAGGTCTGTGCCCACGAACCTCGAGCTGCTAAAGTGGAGCGTGCGAACTTAACCACTACGCCACTGGGCCTGCCCCTCTGGTGCTTCTTCAGTTCCTCTTATAGCAGATTCTAGGGAAAAGCTTAGATGTTTTTATGTCACTAGGAAAACTAGTACAACATTTGTAGTAAACTTAGGTTTTCTAGTTTAATATGCCTAATTTACAAAAGAATTTCACTAGATGTATCATCACAAAACATGGATGGATGAGAAGACTGTGAATGTGTTATCCTCTGTGCAGTCTCTTACTGTCCTCTTAAGCATCTGGCTTCTCTTAAGTCAAGTAAAAATCAGAAGTAGTCCGCTGTGAACTGCTTTCTTTAGGGTTATTCTTTTGGTGAATGATCCTTGAACTTTAAGATTTTTAAAAATGTATATGCTTAACTATGCTGCGATATAGGGAATATCTTTATGATTGTCTTTTTGTGTTATTCTTATTTCTAGTCAAATGCACCCTGTATCCTTTTTATTGATGAAATAGATGCTATTACCCCCAAAAGAGAAGTTGCTTCAAAAGATATGGAACGAAGAATTGTAGCCCAGCTCCTAACCTGCATGGATGGTCAGTTTAAAATAATGAATTCACTTTAAGATAATAAATTGTTTTTTTTTTAATAGTATAAGTAATATGTGAAGATATGAAACATTCAAATAAAATAAAACTCAGAGTAAAAAAACAAATATTTTTCATTTCATAAAAGATTACATCATTAATTTTTTTGAGTATATCTTACAGTTATCTTTAATGCCTTTGCACACGCGAACATATATATATGTACACATTGTTCTGTGACTTGCTGTTTCTTTTTTTTTTTTTTTAATTTTATTAATTTATTTTTTCCCCCAAAGCCCCAGTAGATAGTTGTATGTCATAGCTACACATCCTTCTAGTTGCTGTATGTGGGACGCGGCCTCAGCATGGCC